AAGTTTGTTGTAGATACAAAAGGATAAATATTGTGTTGAAAAACAGATGAGAGCAGTTACCTGCAGAAAAGGGCAAATGGTTGAGGCTGAGGTTGCTGTTTTTCATAGCAACTGTTTAATTCATTAAACAATGTATGTATCTGACTTGTATAAAAATAGAAAGGACATGAAAGTTGATGCTAACAGTGATAAATGCAAGAGAGCCAGTAACGCAGGATGGCGTAACTGAGTGTATCAGAAGGCCTTTTTGGAGTGAGTTGAGGAGAATGTCCTGTGAGCAAGTGAAATTTCAAGCCGCAGGCAACCTGAAAGGTGAGGACCTAGCCATGTGAAATCTGGGGGAAGAGGGTTCCAGAAAAAGGAGCAGCAGGACAAAGGCTCTGAGGCAAGAAGAGTTTAGCAAGTTCTTGATACCACAAAGAGAGAATGAAATGAAAAAAAGTAGGGGGTATTGGGAGAGAACAGTTAGCTTGGGTAGATGAATGGGATATGTCAGATTATGCCGGGCCTAAGTCGTCATAGTGGGCTTGAGATTTTATTCTGAGGGCCACAGAAGCATTGGAGGCCTCTAAGAAGAAAAAATGGAATTCTGTTTTTAAATTATTGCTGTCTATAAATACGTATAAACATGTATAGTGTGCTAGATACTGTTCCAAATGCTTTATATGTGTATCAGACTAACTTAGTCATCATAAGAGTGTGATGATGTAGCTGCATTAGCCCTGTTTTTTTTCAGTGACAAAGCTAAAACACAGAAGTTGAGTTGCATGGTGCTAAACTTGGGTTCAGGCTCGCTTCTACACCTGCTGCTCCCTGGAGGCCCCTCTGGCTGGCCAGCAAGGGAGCAGGACTAGATACAGTGATTCTCAACTCCCCAAGCTTCCCAGGCAGCCTGGAGCTATAACAAAATGAAACATTCAAGTGCACTAGCATTTTTAGAAGCTCTCCAGGTTAAGTCTGGAGTGTAGACAGGATTGAAAACTGTGGGCTGGGAGTCTAAGATTGCCCAGAATTCACATATTCATTTCTGCTCTGGGCCACCAGGGGGCAACACAGGGTGGCTCCTGGGCTCCAGGCATCCCATCCTGTTCCCAGTCCAGCATCCTGCCTCTGTGCAGCCTTCCCGGAACCTACCTTCCTTGGCTGGTCTTGCTCCACTTCTGCTTCCTTCCTTGCCTCAGAACCCAGACAGTCAGTCAGCTTTCTACCAAACAACTGCCCACGGCCCGAATCACATTTCCTGCACTTGCCCTCCTTTCTTTTCCCCATAGGGTGACAGGCTGAGCGTGAGCAATACCGCGGTACAGGTCTTGTTTTGAGAGGGGGCCGGGCCTCTGAAGACCATCATGGGGCTTGTCTCTGAGCCCGAGCTTCTCTTGTTGTTAAGCAGGGACAAGACATGGCGCTGTGCTTCTTCTCACAGCCTCTGAGATGCCCTATGGCCTGACCTGACTGGCTCGTCCTGTGTCACCAAACCTAGTCCTCCTGGATTTCTGTTCTTTGTGCACAGTCAGCAAGCCTTGCATCCTTTGCACAGAACAGGCTCTCCTCTTTCTCTCCTTCCCCCTCACCCCACCCGCCTCTAACTCCTCACATTCTGGGCCTGCATGAGTCCCTGTAGCTGTTCTGGTCACAGCTCCAGTGTCCTGCTTCTACCCCTGAGTGTCTTCCAGCCCTTCGCCCCGCCTCAGGCTCTGTTTATTGCATCTGTTTATTAGCAAATTGTTGATACCACAAAGGGAGAAAGAAGCAAAAGGGAGCTAGAGGCTGGGGTGGGGCTGGGGCGGGGATGGAGGGAGAGAGCCATGAATTTGGGCAGACAGATGAGTGTCAGATCACGCAGGGCCTCACAGGCCCGGCTGGGCTTGAGATTTTATTCTGAGGGCCACAAAGTTGAGGCCCCTGCTCTGTCTTCCTGACTTCCGAGCCCTCGCTCTGCCTCAGAGGCTCTGTTTATTGGTCCCTGACTCTCCCACTGGGATGTGAGCTGATAAGAATGGGGGTCCTGTCCTCATCCACTGCACCCACACCAAGGCCTGACATCTAGCATGTGGGTGAATGAAGCCCCGTGGAAAGGCAGGTGACATCACGTCTACTAGAGAGCATTGGACACTCGGACTGCGACACAGGTATAGCAGGTGAGGTGTAGCACCTCACACAGGTGAGGGCTTTTTATGTAAAATATCTAGATTTTGGAGCAGTGGGGTTAGGAACACTGTTTTCTTATGGCTGATGGATCCGGCCTGACATGGCGGGGGACAGGTCTGGGGAGAGGAAACCTGTGGTGATGGTGGGGCGTGGATGGCCCCTCCTGGGGTAAGTGCAGCATCGGTGCCCCCCACCACTTGAGCTTACTCTTCCTGCCTTCCCAGACATGCAAGCCTCTGCCAAGTGGGTCACTGGACTCCTGCTTCCGAGGACTTGATGATCTTTGGCCTAATTTCCTGGTTGAATGTGCAGTTTGTAGATAATAAATGTCTTCATTTCCTGTGACTAGAGAAAAAATATTGAAAAGGAAAAAAAAAATGGGGCAAAGTATTTAGCCCGGGGGTGGGGGGGGGGCGTGGTGGTGGGAGGGTTAGAGAAAGCTGGGGGGGAAAAAAAAGAAATAAGAAGAGGCCAGAAACCCGGAGCTAAATGCAACAAAGTTTAGGGGAGTAGAACTGGGATCTGCACTGCGTGTCTTCCTTCTGAGTCGCCAGGCCCACCTGCCCCGCCTTGAATGCCACAGACCAAGCTCTGGCTCTGGGTCAGATGGGAATTTCAGAGAATGGGGTACAGCAGCATCTTTTCCAGAATGGGGAAGCAGAATAGCCAGTGCCGGGTTCCCCTTTGCTGCTGGTCTGACGGAGCCAGCTCCCTGTACCCCTGTTTCCTGATGGCCGCACCAGGCCGCTGTCTGTGTCATTCATTAACCAGACACTAATGGTTCTGTTTACCCATCTGCCATCCTGCAGGGGGTTCGGGGGAGTCCTGCAATCTAACTGGCCATATATTGCTATTGTCTGTTGTCTCAGAAGTTCGGTGCCTGGTGCCCTACGTGGCCAGGGAGAGGGAATTTTCTCAAGTCGGGTGTGAGCTGTCTGCAGCTCGAGCGTGTGCAGGGATGCGCCCAGGCTGGCTTGCAGGAGCTGATTATTAGTGTCTCTCGCCAGAGCCATTTGGTATCTTTGCTTTGATAGAAATTTTGGCAAGTGCAACTGATCAGGGTCTTCCCTACCCTCCTCTCGCGCCTGCCCCTTCCCCCCCCAACCCACAAGGCTGGCTGAGCACTTCTGGCAAGGTGCTGGGGCATCTGTTTATGAAGTAGGTGCGTGCTGACCTGTAAGGCTGCTCCTGACCTTGGACAATTCTGATGAAAGAGGAAACACGCCTCACTTTTGGGGACCTTCCATCCTGATGAAAGTCCTGTGTGTTTGTTATAGTGCTTTGTGGTTTCTTAACTCTATCGTGGAAGTACTCTGTCTGATCCTGAAAACTTTCTCCCTCCAGTGGAAGGCGCAGATGCCAGATTGTCATCTTAAAATGGAAACCAGATCCTTCCACTCTTGCTTAAAGCCCTAGAAAGTCTTTGGCAGCTCTTAGAATAAATCCAGACGCCTATTTATGGCCTAAAAGACTTGGCATGGGCTGGTCCCTGCTGACGTGCTGGACCAAACCTTTGTTCACGCTCCCCAGATCACAGTGTTTCAGCCCAGCCATTCTCCACGCGTGACTGTGACCCACAGCGCAGTGTTACCTGGGACCTGTTAGCAATACAGACTCTTGGGTCCCCTCCAGACCTACTGGTTCTGAAACTGTGAATGAGGAGAGTACTATACACTTCAGCAACCTCTCCCTGGGGTTTCAGTCCATGTGGAAGTTTGCAGACGGCTCTTTCAGCCACCCACGGGCCTGCTCTCTGGCCTTGAGATGCTGAGGTTTCCTCCCTCCCCTGGGCCTTTGCACCTGTTCCTAGAGCCCTCTTTTCATGGGATTCCATATGGCAACAGCTTTTTACCATTCAGGTCTCAACTGAACATCACTGCCTCCTAATCCCCTCCCCCTCCATCGTGTTTTCTCCCATGTTCTTATGGTCACGTCTTTGCAAAAACCACTCGCCACATTCTGAATGTACCTGGCTTATTTATTTACTTGCTTATCAACCACTTCCCATCATGCCCCCCACCTCCATGAGGATGAAGCCCCAAGCGAGCAGGTACCTTGTCTCTGCCACACTCTGCACCCGTCATCAGCACGTATTTGTTGAAGAAACGAACCACTAGTTTCCCAGTGCAGAAAGGGGCCACTCACCCAATGACTGGATGAAGCTAAAGCTTCACCCTGAGAATCCACATCCTGCGATTTTCTTGGACTTTCCTGAGTCTGGTTCTCCATCCCGCTTTGGCCCATCCTGTGCTTGCAGAAATGTTACAGACACTGTGGACACTCGCTTCAGAGTTACAGAATCTTTATTTTCAATCTGCCAGACCAGACTGTCTTCCTGTGCTGAGTCAGCATTGATCTCTGACTGATAGTGCCAGGCTGTTCTTGGCCTACATGGGGTACAGTGTGGGGCGGGGGGGAGTGGAGACAAGACCCAGACCTCAGGCAGCATCCCGTTAAGCAGGGAGAGACCCCCTTTCACACACACACACACATACACACACACACACACACACACAGATGCCTGGCGCATACTTACAAAGCAGTAGGGTAAATCCACACATGCAAATCTATATCACAAGAGGTCTAAGCCCCCTGTCCTCCCTCTTAGTCCCCATGGCTCAAATATTCCTGTGTCTCTTTGGCCTCACTTAGTATTTCTCCTTTCCGGATGGCTTCTTTCCAGCATCGACAGCTAGACCAGTGTCTAGGTGTCCTCTCAAAGCTTGTGTCAAGGTCTCCTTTGGACTCGGCTTCGGCTTGATCGCCCCTGGCCACCGGCCAGTCCCAGCGACTGCGTGCATACTAGCTACATCTCTTCAGCAACCCAGATCTGGTAGTGCTTCCACACCTGATCATTTCTTCTTATGTCATGGAGCCGTGCTCCCTTGGGAAGGAAAGTTCAGTCAGGAAGGGACACCAGGCAGGTGAGAGGAGCTGTTTCCAGCCCCAGCAGTGGATGGGGTCTGAGGATTCCGAATCCCAGAAGGGACACCGCAGGAGAGGACACCTTGTCCTCTCCCTGCTGCTCCAGTCCGCGGAGCCCAGAGTGCTTCAGGAAGTCCAGGCACACCCCTAGTCCGTGGCGTAATCAGAGCTTGGGACTGTGTCTCCTTGACTCACGCCCCTGTCCACGTTGGTCTCCTCCCCTGTGTCTTTGCCTCTGCGTCCCAGCAGGGAGGCGCTCCGGTGCCGCAGCGCCTGCAGCCCTTTCCCGACCGCTCTGCGCACCGCGGAGGAGGAGAAATAGAAAAGTATGGGGTCCAGACTGGCGTTGAGGGAACTGAGCACCACGGCGACGGTCCGCCATTTGGGGCTGTTCTTGGTAAAATATCCCACCAGGTGGGACACGTTGTAGGGCCCGAAGCACACCAGGAAGTTCAGGAGCGTCACGACGGCCAGCCCCACAGCTCGGCGCCGCCGCTGGGTCCCCACATGGGGCTGCGTGAGCATGATCCACACGAAGCGCCAGTAGCAGAAGATGGTGACGGTCATGGGGATGAAGAAGAGGACGAGGCACAGCTCCAGCCGCATGGGGAGCACCACATCCAGCTGCCCTTTGTTGAAGTCGTCATAGCAGGAAGTGGGGCCACTGGTGTTGGTGAGTTCAGTTGTGTTCAAGTACTGGACGATGATCACGATGCTGCAGTGACTGAAGGACATGACCCACGCGATCAGGGCCGCGATCACGCCGTATATGGGCCGGCGGGACAGCTTGTACTGCACGGGGAAGGCCACCCCCAGGTAGCGCTCGATGCTGATGCCCGCCAGCAGCCACGTGCTGCAGTAGATGCTGCTGTAGAAGCCAAAACCCGTGAGAGCGCAGACTATGTTGGGCAGGTACCAGACGAAGTTAGCCGCAGCCTCGATCATCTTGAAGGGCAGCAGCAGCAGCAGCAGGAGGTCGGCCAGTGTCAGGCTGAGCAGCAGGATGTGGATGGGGGCAGGCTGGGGCTGGCGCACCCGGCCCACGAAGGCCCGCAGGGCCACGAGGTTGGCGGGGAAACCGGTGAGGAAGATTAAGATGTAGGCCATGAGAATCAAGGCGTTCCTCGTTTCTGGCAACTCCATTCTGAAAGAGGATGGACAAGGCAGGGTCAAGGAGGGGTCCCACTCACAGCCCGCAGACCCTCCTCTGATTCAGGACGGGAACATCCTCCCTGGCTGCTCCCCTGCCCAGGCGTTCTGCTGTCTCCGCAGCTTGCTCACGCCACCTGCCAGAACTGCCCAGAGCAATTATTGACTTTGCCTTGGGCGGGATATTAAGCAGTGGTTATTAACATTTGCCATCTTGTGTCTCTGGGGGAGACCAGCCCTTGGCTTCCCAAGGGAATTCCCCCTCCCCTTTCCCGAGCCCTGCTCCTCTCCTCCCAGATACGGGAAGCTGCTCATATCAGTGTCCAGCTGTCCTTCAGGCCCTTCCTCGGGCAGAGGCCTGCGGAGAGAAAAGGCATCACACGCCCGAGAGAGCTGCGTGGTGTCTCTTGAGAGAATTCAGACGCTGAGACCCAGGCCCCGAGGCGGCTCTCCACCGGACCCCGCCCCCTGCCACGAAGGGGGCGCCCAGCCCCCCACCTGTCTCCCTACCTTGTTTTCCTCTCCTCTTGCAAAACACAGATTCTCCTCCGCCTCTTCCTTCCCCGTGCAGTGCGGACTCCGGGACTACGTGGAAAAGGAGAAGCTAATTAATGAAGCATCGGGAGAGGGGTGCAGGGAGGAAGGGTGAGCCGGCATGATTGTTAGGGGCTTGGTCCCCAAAAGACTTGAGAGAATATTTCAAAAAGCCCCTAGGCGGTAACGGACTCCGAGCCCTGTGTTGGAACTCGAGTCAGAAGCCCTCTTCTCCCCGGGGTAACTCACTTGCTTACAGCTCCCCGCCACGGTCAGCTGAGCCCCCCCATCCTCTCTAGATGCCTCCTGGTCCAGATTTCCTTCCTTCCCCACCCTCCGCTGGCTTCTGTCTCTGGGTTTGGTCCTAACGTTGCAGTTTCTGGTAGACATCCTCCAGCCCCCCAATACCTTCCCCTCAGGGTCTGCTTCTAAGGTGCAAGCACTGAGCTAGCTGCCTTGCCTTGTCTTCCTTCCAGAGAGCGCTGACTTCTCGGGATGAGTCGAAGGAAAAAGTCTGTGAGCTGGGAAAGAGGAACAGAACTTCAGCAGCTGCTGCCGCCCAGTTGACACAGGAAAAAGTGGTCCAGAACCTGGCTGAGAGAAAGCCTTTATACCAGCGGGCATCACGTGACGAGAGCGAGGGGAGGGTTAGTGACTGCATCTTGTCAGCCCCTGTGAAGCACCCGTCTCTCCACCCCGAGGGACCTCACACCGGTTTCCAAACCCAGATTTCTCTCTCTGCTTCCGAATTCTTTTCACTCTCAGACATCACCTCCCACATGATCTCCTCTCTTCTAGGTGATTTCTTCTGTAATTTTACTCGTTCTCAGAAAAGAGGTCTCCTATTTCTTCTTCTTCTGCAGCTTTTTACTTCCTATGTGGTCTCTTGCCCTCTGCCCCTGATAAGTTTCTTTCCCCCTCTCAGTGGAAACAAATTGGTTCCTTCTCTGTCTTGTTCTGGTGCGAACAGTGTGAGATTGAGAGTCGCAGGGAGGTGGGCACGAACCCAGTGCCTTCGTTGGCACCCTGGAGATCATGAGGTGGGCTTTAGTTTCCTTTCCAGTGCAGCAAGCCTAGGGACATTGCACCCCAGGGTCTCTGTGAGGCGCCAATGAGGTGCAGCTACATGGCCCTGGCCCCCACCCCCGAGCTTAGCACTCAGTGGCACCTCAGCAGACACGCGCTCCGGAAGGCTTAGTAATGAGGGAGCTGCTTGGTTAAAGGTCCAGGGCACAGACATGCCTTCTGACTGAGAAGGTTTTGGTGATTCCCAAGGCGCCTTCAGGGGTCTTTATAGGGTCTTTATAGGGGGGCTCATGCTCCATTCCTTCACCCCAAGTCGTCCTTTTCCCTGGATGGGCCCAACCTCTGAGCCACCTGGGTTGTTTCTCACTATTCCCCCCTCTCTGACTGGAAGCCTCAAACTCCTTCTGAAACCCACCCCTGAGGGAACAGGTAGAACCTGCTTTCTTGTTGACCCAGGGATGGGTCTCTTTTGTCCTGGGTGGCCTGATCCCTACTGACAGAATCTCCTTTCTTTCCCTTGAACTTATTTCCTACTGCTTGGTCATTCATTCATTCATTGATCCATCCATCCAGCTTTTGGTTTTGTGACCTGGAGCCACAGGGTCCAGACAACAACAATTAGTTTTTCCCCCTCTTCTGCTCTCTTCTCCTCTTTTTTTTTTTTTTTATATTTTATTTATGCATGCAAGAACTGGGGTACAGGCCAGAGGTGTGGAAGTGAGCAGATTCACCAGAGACAGAGTGGGGAGCAGAACAGGCAGACTGACTGAAATATACTGCTGAGGGGAGCAGAGGGTGAGTCAGGAGAAGTCTGCTGCGATGTGGGTTGTGTGGGTTGCATGGGTAGCTCCCTGGCCTGCCGGGGATTGAACTCATGCTGTGGTGGCTGCCGATTGCTTGATAGCGCTGTCTTTAACCTCTGCGCCACCAGGGAGGCGTCTTCTCCTTTTTCCCTTCCTTTCCCCAGCATACCCACGCACTTTCCAGATAAACAGGGGAACCAAGGAAAACCCATTCTCTGTGGCTTGCGACTGAATTGATTTGCTTCACTCTGCTTTTATGATTTTTCTGTCAGTATTCCTGAAGAGCTGGATTTGGTGGCAAGGGGGAAGCTTATCGGAAAGTAGATGTTTATCCCCGCCGGTCCTTCCGCCTCCCCATGTCTTTCTCACATCCCTGGAGCATGTGATCTGTGTGGAGGGACCCCTCGGGACCCTCTCTTCCTTGGCCCATGTTCATGGTGGCATTGGAGGCCACGTAAGAAAGGAAACTCAAACCCCTTAATCATGACAGCCAAACATGTCACCGGAAAAGGAAATGCAACCTCTTAGGCTGAATTCAAGGGCTGAAATTTTACACAAGTGGTTTCTTTCACAATCCCTAACAAGTTCACTTTTCTGTCATCATCATAATGACCCAGTGTTCTCATAGGAAGTTGGACCCTTCATCTGAAATTATGTGTATCACTTTCTCCACTTCCTCAGTTTTCCAGCTCTGCTCCACCTCCACTCTCCTGGAAGTGGGATTGCTGGGTCATATGGTAGCTCTATTTTTAGGAGTTTGAGGAACCTCTACACAGCTCTCCATAGTGGCTGGACCAGTTTGCACTCCCACCAGAAGTGTAGGCGAGTTCCTTTTTCACCACATTCTCGCCAACATTTGTTGTTGCCAGTTTTTTTAAAATATGCGTCATTCTTACTGGTGCAAGGTGGTATCTCATTGTGGTTTTGATTTGTATTTCCCTAATTATGAGGGATGTTGAACACTTTTTCTTATGCCTGTGGGCCATTTGCATTTCCTCTTTGGACAAGTGTCTTTTTAGCTCTTCTGCCCACTTTTTGACTGGATTATTTACTTTGTTTTTGTTGAGTCCTGTGAGCTCTTTAAGAACCCAAGTTTTGACTGTTAATAAAGTATTTTACCTAGTTTTTCTGTTATGGCCTGTGCTTTTATGTCCTAAGACATTTTTATCTACACCTCTTCAACACCAGACTTTCCTTTCTCTGACTGAACTCCTGAGCAGAAAAGATCTGATTGAATAGGAGTGTGCCTGTGCAACCTCTTTTCTGTCCTAGTCATCTTTACGTCTCTCCTTTCACCCTCTCTACACAGCCTGGATTGCTGTAGTTCAACAATAAGTCTTGAAATCAGACAGGGTGAGTTCTCCACCTTTTTCTTCTTTCTACAACTGCTTTGGCTATTGCAGGTTGTTTGCATTTCCATGTAAGTCAATGTCTACTGAAAGCCTGCCGGGATTTGGGCTGCCATTGCGTCGGACACTGTAATGATACTGAGTTGTCCCATCTGTGAACATGACACAGCTTGGGTGCACTTGGGTATTAACTCGGGTATTAACATTTCTCTCAGCAGAGCTTTTTGGTGTTCTGTTTGGAGATTTCGCCCATTTTTAAAGAAGTTGATTCCTAAGTATTTTTGGTGCTGTTGCAGATTTATTACTTTCATCAATTTTGTTTTCTCATTTGTTGCTCTCATAGCACCTTTTACTATTCCTTCATAACATTATTATAATACGTTTCTGGGTATGAGTATTTGCTGAATGTCCATCTCCCTTACAAGACTACTTAGGAAAGTAGGGAACATTTTTATCCCCAGGGCCCGCTGTAGACCCTGACACGGCTTATGATCATTGTTTCCCAGCTGATGTGTGGAGGGGTGAAGGGAAGAATTGGAATAGAGAGAAGTCAGCCTTCAAAGCTTAGTGATACTTGTCCTCAGATGCCTCATTTGATCTCCCGGGACCATCATAAGAAATCCCAACCCGGAATCACTTGAGAGCACGCTTTCAGATGAAGGCACTCCCAGTACATTTGCTGGAATCTACGGGAATCTCTCTCCATGGGCAGTTTTGGTAATTCAGGCTAATGCCTCTTTAGTGTACAGATCCTGCTTAGCAGAAGTAAGGAGGGTGCATAAATAACACATTCAAAAGTGAAGGAAAATGCAGGATTCACCAGTAGCGGCCCTGGCAGTAAAGAACTGTTGTTTCGTTCATTCATTCATTTATCCAGCAAATATGTATCTACCTCCTAGGATGTGCTAAGATTGGGGCCATGCACTGAAGATATTAGGGGGCACATTAGGCATGGCCTTGCACTCACAGATTGTGGTGACATGTGAGGGAGGGAAACGTAATGACAAGTCAGTAGGAAGACAGGATTAATGACGCAGCCAGAGACATTATGAAGGCCGTGGAGCTGGGAGAGTGGGGGCGGGGCAGAGATTTCTTTCGGCGGAGTGGTCAGAGGACCATCTCTGAGGTTACCCTGAGCTGACCCTTGAGGAAGGGGCTGAGTTCTGAGAAGGGGCTGAGTGAAGTTCCGGCAAAGGGGTGGTTTGGGGGAGGAACTGGCAAGTGTGAGGCAGAAAGCACCTTTGTGTGGAGGGAACCGAAAGGCCAGTGTGGTGATGGCAGCCAGGGCAATTACAGCGGGACGCCTCCGTGCAGGGCCTTGGTGATCACAGCAAGGAATTGGGGTTCCATCTGCAAGAGGTGGGAAGTCACCTGAGGCCATAGAGGGGAATGAGGTGATAGGATTGAGGGTTTGAGGAAATTTATGCTGGCTGCTGTGTGTGCAGTGGGCTCCAGGATGAAGCTGGAAGCAGACAGGTTGCTAGAAGGACACTGCGGTCATCCAGGCAAGGCTGATGGTGACATGGATTCTGGACAACATGCAGTGGAGGCAGAGCTGATCGGTTGGGATCAGAATGCACAACTTCAAGTAACTAACAATAAATGAAGAACTGCGGGATGCCAGAGAGAAAGGGAACTCTCCCCGGGAATTAGAGAGATGATCCAAAACCAGTGCATTCAACTGGACTTCGAGGTTTCCTCGCTCTCCTAAATGCAGTTCACCCCGCTCCCCCCGTGCGTTTCCCTCTCTGGGTCCCTGCAGTGGCCCTATGGGCTGTGAAGGTGATGGGTTATGTTCTCTGCCTCTTGCATCTGCTCCTTTGGTTGCCACTTGTCCAGCCTCTCCCCCGTCTCTGCAATAGTGGA